TGCGCCTCTCGTCTGGCTCTGCTGGGGTTCTGCCGCCCAGGCGCCGAGCGAGGGGAGCAGGCGGGTGTTTTCAGAAACCCACGAGCTTCTTGGCACAGTCCTCCCTTATTTACACTAGCGACGTTCCTTTTCCCATGGAGCCGGCGCATCCCGGAGGGCAAAAAGGGAGCGGTGGGCCATTGTGCCGATGCAGGCGGGGCTGGTGCAGAAGGGCCTGGGGCGGGAGGTGGCAGAGCTGCGTTAGACACCCCAGGAAGCGCACGAAGAGCCCTGAGCAAATGCTGAACCCTTTCTCTCCTGGTTCGGGTGGTCACGATGCAGTGCAAAGGCGTTGATGGTTTCTGGCTAGAGGAGCGTCCAGGATCTCTCCCTCCCTGTCCCCCGGTCCACGACCGACATCGTCACCGCGTCCCCAGCGCTGGCCCCGATGGCCGGTCACACGCACGGAAGAGGCTGTGGTGTGGGAAGGGCAGCGGGGTGCAGCAGCACGGCTTGGAGGAGAGGGAATATTCGCCCGGGTGTGAAGCGTTGCGAGACGCCCAGAGCCCTGGGCTTGCTCCGTCCAGCGCCCCGTAGAAGCACAGGATCCCTGGGCAGTCGTCGTCACCGTCACCCGCCGGGGCGAGCCAGCAGTCCTGGGGTGGTTCTGGATTTTAAATACCCTGTTTCCATGTGCTAGTGCCAGCGTGTAGATTCACGGACGGCCTCTGGACGCCGGGTCGAGGATAGCGATGGTGTGGTTTGCTAGCGGCAAAGGGGACGTTCCCCTGCCCCAGACTGGTTTCTGAGGCTGGCGGAGAGCAGCTTTTGGTGGTCCTCGCAAGGAGTTTTCCGGATGGGATCTCAAATGTAGCGGGGACTGGCTACGTGTAAGCTGGAAGTCGACAGCGCTGTAGCTTTACCAGGGTTGCCTTCCCCCGCCGTTCCTGGCGGGCAGGTCTCTGTAAGCGCCGTGGTGGGGCAGTGGGACCCCGGTAGCCCACCGGTGGCAGGGGCTGCCGGCCCGTCCCCAGCTCGGGGGCTGCAGCACGGGGCGCGGTGGCTTGCAGAGCTCCCCTTTTCCCCCCAGGGAAGCCAGCTTCGGTTGTAGTTTCTGCCTTCTGGTCAAACGGTTTTAAGCTTTTCCGAGCATTTTGTGGATTCACTCGGCCCTCTTGGACTCGGTAACAGCTTCTCAAAATCGTGCTGGTTCCTGGCCCTCACCCCGTCTGCTCATTTTCTGGCCGCCACGTGCATCCTGAGCAAAGCAAGCGCTGCCGGCCTCCTGCTTGAGTCAGCATCCAGAGAAAACCAGCCGGGAAGATGGGAGCAACTGGTTAATGCCACGCAGTGATGGTAGGCGCCTGCTGGAGGCTAAGGACAGGACCCCCAGCCCTCCCCTCCCGCCTCCCTGCTCCAGGAGCCCTGGCCAGGTCCCGTGGCTTTCCTCAGCCTCCGGAGGAGTTTTCCCGCAGCGGAGATGGCGTCATCCATGGTGCGCTCGACGGGAGCCGACTGCCACCCTGCGTCGGTGCCTGCAGAGCACCCATCTGCCGAGGGGGCCGAGCAGAGCCGGGTCAGCGAACCGGAGAGCGCGGGAGCAGAACAAGGGGCTGGCAGAGCTACGGCGCCGCTCCGCAGCGAGGACCCGCACGGCAAGGCACGGCTCTCGCACGGCTTCCCCGTTGTGACTCTATTAGCCGCCCCGCTCGTTTCGCAGCAAGCTCTGCTGGAGCCCGGCAGCCTGAAATCCCGGGCGTGCGCTGATGCCTCTGCACGTCCCATGAATCCTATCCCCTTCCCTTCTGGATTCGCCTGGTGCCGTCACCTTGCGGGCTGCGATCTCCCCGTTCCCTTCTGGATTCACCTTGCGGGCTGCGATCTCCCCGTTCCCTTCTGGATTCACCTTGCGGGCTGCGATCTCCCCGGTCCCTTCTGGATTCCCCTTGCGGGCTGGGAACCTCCCCCTCCCC